CCAAGACGGCCCAAAAGGCCCCCAAGACAGCCCAAGAGGCCTCCAAGACGCCCCAAGAGCCTTCCAAGAGGCCTCCGAAGAGAGCCCCAAGAGGCCAAAATCGTTTATTTTCATTGTTTTTTTCCATGGTTTTTTGTGTTCTGGCTTTTTCGGCTTCCGGACGCTCCAAGACGGCCCAAGAGGCCCCCAAGACCGCTCCAAGACGGCCCACGAAGCTCCCAAGACGGCGCCGAAACGACCCAAGAGAGCCCTCAAGACGGTCCAAGTGCCGCCCAAGACGGACCAAGAGGCCCCAAGACGGGCCCAAGAGGGACTCAGGAGGGATACCGAGAACTCAAAAATGGAGCCCTCCGTCCCAGAAGGCGCCCAGGAGGTCCCAAAGAGGCCCCAAGAGGCCTCCAAGAGGCCCCAAGATGTCGCCAAGAGGCCCCAGGAGACTCCCAGGAGGCCCAAAAGAAGCCCCAGAAGGCTTCAAACATGTCTCCCAGGCGCCCCCGAACGGCCTCTCAACAGACCCCAAGAGGCCCCCCAAAGAAGCATCTTGACGACGACTCTATTTCGCCCCATCGAGAGACGACCCCCAGGGAACTGCTTCACCATCAAAACTCCCCACGCAACGCGTCCGAACGACACCCGCCCCCAAGAGCGCAACATGGGCAACGAACACACAGACAAAAACCAGCGATGCCATATCACGGGCCGGCGGAATGAGCGAAGCGATTCAATAAGGGAATCCCTAAGATTGGCATCGTGATGAGGAGGTGCCCAGCATAGGGATAGGGATATGTTCCAGGCTGGTAACTTTTGGCGCTCCGCGCGGATTTCTAGGACTTGCGCTGGACCCTCCCTCGCTGGCGCGCGGAGCGCGCCAGGGGCGGCGCTGGAGGCGCCGCCGGGGGGGAGGGGGGCCCAACGCGGATCCAGGCAATCCGCGCGGAGCGCCAAAAGTTTTCTGTTTGTGGCGTTTCCTCTGACTACCTACCAGACCACCCCGACCCAACCCGAAGACCCGAATTTCGGGTTGGGGGGGGGTAAGGGTTCCACACATGTTTTCTCGATGTTTCCCGACCCCCCCCCCTCTGGAAATCGAGGGTAAGTCTGAGCCTTCGGGTTGGGTTGGGGTGTCTTAGTGGGTGGTGAAGCGCTGGAGGCGCCGCCGGGAGGGGGGCCCAAGGCGGATCCAAGCAATCCGCGCGGAGCGCCAAAAGTTTTCTGTTTGTGGCGTTTCCTCTGACTACCTACCAGACCACCCCGACCCAACCCGAAGACCCGAATTTCGGGTTGGGGGGGGGGTAAGGGTTCCACACATGTTTTTTCGATGTTTCCTGACCCCCCCCCCCACTGGAAATCGAGGGGAAATCTGAGCCTTCGGGTTGGGTTGGGGTGTCTTGGTGGGTGGTGAAGCGCTGGAGGCGCCGCCGGGAGGGGGGCCCAAGGCGGATCCAAGCAATCCGCGCGGAGCGCCAAAAGTTTTCTGTTTGTGGCGTTTCCTCTGACTACCTACCAGACCACCCCGACCCAACCCGAAGACCCGAATTTCGGGTTGGGGGGGGTAAGGGTTCCACACATGTTTTTTCGATGTTTCCTGACCCCCCCCACTGGAAATCGAGGGGAAATCTGAGGCTTCGGGTTGGGTTGGGGTGGTTTGGTGGGTGGTGAAGCGCTGGAGGCGCCGCCGGGAGGGGGGCCCAAGGCGGATCCAAGCAATCCGCGCGGAGCGCCAAAAGTTTTCTGTTTGTGGCGTTTCCTCTGACTACCTACCAGACCACCCCGACCCAACCCGAAGACCCGAATTTCGGGTTGGGGGGGGTAAGGGTTCCACACATGTTTTTTCGATGTTTCCTGACCCCCCCCACTGGAAATCGAGGGGAAATCTGAGGCTTCGGGTTGGGTTGGGGTGGTTTGGTGGGTGGTGAAGCGCTGGAGGCGCCGCCGGGAGGGGGGCCCAAGGCGGATCCGAGCAATCCGCGCGGAGCGCCAACAGTTTTCTGTTTGTGGCGTTTCCTCTGACTACCTACCAGACCACCCCGACCCAACCCGAAGACCCGAATTTCGGGTTGGGGGGGTAAGGGTTCCACAAGTGTTTTTTCGATGTTTCCTGACCCCCCCCCCACTGGAAATCGAGGGGCAATCTGAGGCTTCGGGTTGGGTTGGGGTGTCTTGGTGGGTGGTGAAGCGCTGGAGGCGCCGCCGGGAGGGGGGCCCAAGGCGGATCCACGCAATCCGCGCGGAGCGCCAAAAGTTTTCTGTTTGTGGCGTTTCCTCTGACTACCTACCAGACCACCCCGACCCAACCCGAAGACCCGAATTTCGGGTTCGGGGGGGGTAAGGGTTCCACAAGTGTTTTTTCGATGTTTCCTGACCCCCCCCCCCCTCTGGAAATCGAGGGGAAATCTGAGGCTTCGGGTCGGGTTGGGGTGTCTTGGTGGGTGGTGAAGCGCTGGAGGCGCCGCCGGGAGGGGGGCCCAAGGCGGATCCAAGCAATCCGCGCGGAGCGCCAAAAGTTTTCTGTTTGTGGCGTTTCCTCTGGCTACCTACCAGACCACCCCGACCCAACCCGAAGACCCGAATTTCGGGTTGGGGGGGGGTAAGGGTTCCACACATGTTTTTTCGATGTTTCCTGACCCCCCCCCCCCTCTGGAAATCGAGGGGAAATCTGAGGCTTCGGGTTGGGTTGGGGTGGTTTGGTGGGCGGTGATGCTCTTCTTCGATGCTCTCTGCGCGAGTGCGCCTCGCCAGCGCCGCCCGCGGCGGCCAGGGGCCCCGTCAGGCCTGAACGGGCTCCCTCCTCAGAGCCATGCGTTGACCCTCTGCCTCTGCGTCTGAGGGGGGGAGGGCAGGAGAGCCCAGAATCGAATCGATAAATCGGATCGGCAATCGACATGAATCGGATCGGCGGAAATCGGCAGCCGAATCGGGAAAAGCCGAATCGGCGGAAATCGGCAGGCTGGTATGCCTCCGATAAGAAATCGGAGTCCAAATCGGAATCCCAGGTCGAATCGAATCGGAATCGGAATCCATCGAAGTCGAATCGAATCGAATCGGAGGAATCGAAACGAGCCCTGGGAGGGGGGGGGGGGGCTGCTGCTCCCCCTCTCGCCGGCGCGCCCCGAGCGCTGCGGCCCGACCTTCGCTCCAGGCGGGTCGTGCTGGGGCGATGGTGAGCGTTTTCACAGTCGGCGTTTCGGCACTGGGCGTGAGTGAAGGGGCCCCAGGACACACAAATAAATACACACAAATGAAAAGATGCCCAGTCTTTTCCCATATTTTCTGGGTCTCTGTCTCCCCCCCCACTTCCCATATTTTCCCGTATTTTCTGAGGTATCGAGGATTCATTGTGGTTGTGTGTTTTTCCCTCTCCTGAGTGAGGGCGGGGGAGGAGGGGGGGGGGTCTGGCTCCAGGCCTCTGCTCAGTGCGGCTGTTTGGAACCGTGCGTCCAGAAGGGACACCCCCCCCTGCTCGAAACAGGCGCCAAGAACAGCCAAGATCCACTCCATGGGGGGGGGGATGATTGCGAGGGCCCGCGTCGATCGGCAGAACAATGAATCAGACAACGATCACCAAATGATGTGAAAAACGCTGGGGACATTGCTTGCTTGTTTTCAAGGTCGACGTCTGCGTGTCAGTTTGCGTGCGAGTTGCCTTGCCGTCTCGGGGTTCTTGTTCGCGCAATCTTCGGTTCAGTCCCGTTGTCTGGTGTTTTCTCGTCTGTTTTGGGCCGCCGCGCTGTTGATCCAGTTTTAGTCGGCCGAAAACATAAACACTGTAAACGAACAACATCAGCCCCAAGCGTTTTGGGCATCAACTGAAAGGGCAACCCAAATGGGATGCCAGGGAGAGGTGCAGTAGTTCGTGGGCAGTAGCTATTGCCTATCAGCTCTTCCTGGGGTGTGCGAGCTATTGCACGGGGCGAAAAGGATTGCGGTTTATAGAGCGCGCGGTTGACATCCACGCGCAGCATTTGCGTCTAGACCGCAGACTATTGCATCCATGCGCCAACTATTGTGGAAACTATTGCACCCTCCCCGCCCCCCCATCTGCGCCTCACCCTACTCCAGCTTAGAAGAAGACAGGCGGAGGAGGGGAGGGAAAGGCAGGACATCCATCGTCGTGCTTTCGGTCGCACTGCGGCTCCACCAAAAGGTCTGGACCCCTTCACGGGGACCAACGTTTCATCCTGCATCGTGTTTTGACGGCCCCTGGACATGGCAATTGCCGCCCACGGCCAGCAGTTGCTCAAATACGTAGCACCCCGCAGATTCGGATAAGAGTGAGGGGGCGGTGGGGACGTCGGCAGTCTGCAGAAAAAGCCCGCCGCAGGCGCCAAAATTTGTTTTACAAATTATACAACGAGCCCGCCGCAGGCGCCGACTTTTTCTTCAAACCAATGTGGATCGGTCGCGGGTGGGTCGCGGGTGGGTCGCGGGGTGGGTCGCGGGGGGGTCGCGGGGTGGGTCGCAAGTGGGTCGCGGGGTGGGTCGCGGGTGGGTCGCGGGTTGGGTCGCGGGTGTGTCGCGGGGTGTGTCGCGGGGTGGGTCGCGGGTGGGTCGCGGGGTGGGTCGCAGGGTGGGTCGCGGGTAGGTCGCGGGGGGGGGGGACGACGACAACAAACAACAACAACATCAACAACAACAACAACCACAACAACAACAGCAACAACAACACCACCAGCAACAACTCAACAAGCAGAATCATCACCACGGACTCTCACTTCAGCCACGCACCCAGGGACAATGAATGACCGTTCGGCCCCCTCACTCTGACCTAATGCCATGTTTGTTTTCCACGCCGCGGGGATGTCAGTGGTACAGAGAGTGCGAGTATGCGTGAAAGAGACAGAGAGAGAGAGGGAGAAACAAAAAAAGAAGGAAACAAAAAAAACAACACAGAGAACGCGAAAGAGAGAGAGAGAGAGAGAGAGAAAGAGACAGAAAGTATGAGAGAAAAGGACGAGGACGGTGGCGAGATGCGCAACACGTCGGAGCCGTGCGGGTGCGACCTTTCGCCGCGGACAAGATCTCCGCCCGCAGGTCCTTCTGCTCCTGAGAGGTCGCTGGCGGTGGGTCCAGGCGCGCGCGGGAGCAGAATAACAACACCAGCGGAACAATGTATTTGCCAGCGCTCATCCCAAGCAGTCGCTTCTTGCACCCTGGGAGAGCAATACACGTACTCTAACGTGTGTGGTGCAAGCCACGCGTGCTGCAAGTTACGTGGTGCAAGCTAAGCGTGGTGCAAGCTGTGTGGTGTAAGCAGCGCGGTGCACGAAATGTGCACAGCTGAAAAAGAAAACAATACCCAGAACTTATCATTCGAGACATCTGGGCCAACTTTCCGGAAAATTCATCAAACCAACCTGGGACACCTTGTTTGTCTGGGATGGAATGACGAGCGCGCTCAAGAAACCGGGCCAGCTTCCCAGCCGATTGATCGAGAAACGCCGGCCCAGGTTTTGATGAGGAGGTGTCTTAACGAGATGCTCGACGGCAGTGCGAGCCATGTGGTGCAGAAGCTCTGCGGTGGAAGCTAGGGGGTGCAAGCTAAAAACGGCAGCCCTTCTGAGAAGAAGAACAAAACGCTGTAGGCATACTCTTTTGGCGCACCGAGCGGAGTTCTGGGATCCGCGCCAGACCCCCCTCCCTGGCGCGCGGAGCGCGCCAGGGGAGGCGCCGGAGGCGCCGCTAGGGGGGGCCCAGCGTGGATCCAAGAGATCCGCGCGGAGCGCCAAAAAAATATGCCTTTTTTAGCGTTGTTTCTTCTTCGACTTCTGCTGTGCAAGCCGCGCGGGACAGGCCACGGGACGCGAGCTCTTCGTTGCGACAGCAGTACGAGGCGTGCCACGAGGCGCCCACGGTCGCGCAACGGGCAAAAGCCCTCCGCCAAAAACGCGTCCAAGGCCCAGGGGGCGCTCACGGGGCCCCCACGGCAGCACACTTTGGTCGAAAAACCGCGGCAGACTCCCGGCAAATGTGCCCAGAACGCCCACGAAGAGACCACGGCCGCCCACGCCCCAGGCGTCACATCTACGCCGCCGTTTGCGAGGTGGATGGGCACACTTCCCACCACCACTACCAGATGTAGGACGGGAGAGAAGGGAGGATGAGGAGGTCCTCCTCCTCCTCCTCCTCCTCCTCCTCCTCCTCCTCCTCCTCCTCTCCTCCTCCCTCCCCTACCTGTGGCAGTGGTGGTGGACAGTGGGCCCAGCAGGAGTGCCTCGAGATGCCACCCCGAGACGCGGCCGCTGGGCACCGCCGAGCAGCGTGCCCGGGGCGCCCACGAAGAGACCACGGCCGCCCATGCCGGGCGGAGGCGCCGGCAAGAGCCCAGCCAGCAGTTGCGGGGCGCGCCCGCGCGGCGCCCGCCCGCGGGGCGCCCGCCCGGGGACGGCTCGGCGGGCCCAGCCGGCACACGGGGCGCCCACGAGGCGCCCAGGGCCGCACACCGGGCGAAGACGTCGGCGCCAGAGGCTGGCCGCAGCACCGCGCGGCGGCGGACTCCTCCTCCGGAGGCCGCGTCGGCGCCGCGCTGCGCGCCAGCGAGCAGGACACGCGGCCGTGGAGCGGCGCCCCGCGGTTGGGCCGTGGAGCGGCGGCGAGCTCCGCGAGGCCGTGGCGCCCTCGCGGTGGCCGCGGGTGCGCCGCCGGTCCCGCCCAGCCCAGCCCAGCCGAACGGAGGCAACGCCCAGCCCAGCCCAGCCCAGCCGAGAGGAGGGCGCGAACGAGAGGCAACGGCGCCCCGCGCCCCGCCCAGCCCACGGGGCGCCCGCGAGGCGCCCACGGCCGGGCACCCGGCGAGGCCGCGGCGAGCCCGAGGCCGCCCACGGGGCGCCCGCGAGGCGCCCACCGGGCGCGGAGCCTCCGTCACGCCACCGGACCCACGGGGCGTTCACGGCCGCCGGGGCGAGGCGAGGCGAGGCGCGCCTGAGTCCGCCAGGGAGGCGGGGCCCGGAAGGCCGGCGCGGGCGGGCCGGGGCCCTCAGTTGCAGATGCGGAAGAAGAGGAAGATGAGGAGGAGGAGGAGGAGGAGGAGGAGGAGGAGGAGGAGGAGGAGGAGGAGGAGGCGGGATGTGGAAGAGGATGAGGAAGATGCCCCCGGAGCCCAAGGGGGGACAGCGAGTACTGCAGGGAAGCCCCCAGCGAAAGGCTGCGGAACTTGTGGTCAGAGCTGTGTGTGTGTGTGTGTGTGGCGTAGGAGCGCTTGTTCCAACTTGCTCCATGGAGTGCTGTCCCGTGCTGGTGTAGGTCATCGCTCGCTTCAGACAAGAGGCGAACAGGAGGGACGAGACGCGTCGCGACGGGTCGACAGCCCGCCGAGGGAGAGGACGAAAGGAACACAAAAAGAAGTGCCGACCCCGCGAATTGGGTGAGGTGCGGACCTCTGGTGTCGTGAACTTTTCGCAGCGTGGCTGCCCAGAGGTCTTGACCCCTTCCCAGGAACCGGCTGTTGATTATGAGTCGTGTTTGGCTGTCCTGGTCCTTCAAGGCAAGGGCCCCCAGAAACAGAACATTGCCATAAACCTGCCGTCATGTTTTTTTGCACGGTGCGAGGATGTCAAAAACTCAGGCACTCTTCAGCTCAACCGCGGCAGCACTGGCGGCACGAGCACAGAGAAGCAGAATATGCGCGTCCTCTTCAGGCGTCTTCATCTTTCCTTTGGCCTTCTGAGCCTTCTTCTCCAGGCGCTCCTCCTCCTGAGTGGTGCGACGGCACAGAGGGGAGAGAGAGAGAGAGAGAGAGAGACAGATAGCGAATGAGAAAGAGAGCGAGATAGAGACAGAGAACAACAGACGATTGAGCATGAGAGAGCGAGAGAGAAACACAAAGAGGGAGAGAGAGAGAGAGAGAGAGAGAGAGCAAGGAACAAACATGAAAGAGCGAGAAAGACGAAGAAGAGAGAGAGAGAGAGAGCGATAGAGCGAGAGAACCAAGAAACAGCAATCACACACTTGCTACTGGAATGCCTTCTTTTCGCGGCGCTACTTCGTCATTGCGTCCATGCATGCCCTTAGTGGGCCCTGGAAACGACAGGGCCGTTTTTTACCGGTTCCGTTTTGCGGTTTTTTTGCCGGCTCCGACGCCGTTATTTTACCGGTTCCGTCGCCGTTCTTTTACGGGTTCCCGCTCCGGATCCACTCCTGGAGCCGTTTTTGTCGCAATTACCGGTCGCCGTTTTTTTGCCGGTTCCATTTTCAAGGGACACTTTTTCGGAAACGGTGAAAAAACGGCCCTGCTGTTTCCGGGCGGGGCCCATTAAGGTCACTCCGTGTCTCTCTGGTTGCCCCACATTTTGCCCTGGCCCCGGCTCGGGACGCTCTTGTCTCCAGCGCCCCTCCTGTCTCTGCCCATCATCTCTGTAGTTACCCTCGCTCCCAATCCCGTTTGTCCAGTGCCCCTTCCCTGTCCCCCCGCTCAGGGGTGTTCCTCGCTCCCGCGTCTTGTTTACACCTCGCCTCTTCAGGAGTCTCTCCGTGTCTTCCTGTCTGCCCAGCAGCTCACCCTGGCCCTGGCTTAGGCTGCTCGTGTCTCCAGCGCCACTGCACAGGTGCCACGGCCCCCGCAACCGCGGGTAGGAGAGCGGGGGGGGGGGGCTGCCCGGGGGTCTGGATATCCTGCTGCTTCTCCTCACGTCCTCCTCCTCCTCCTCCTCCTCCTCCTCCTCCTCCTCGTCCTTGTCCTCGTCCTCGTCCTCGTCCTCCTCCTTCCTCCTCGTCGTCCTCGTCCTCCTCCTCCTCGTCGTCCTTCTCCTCCTCCTCCTCCTCCTGCCTCCCTCCCTCCGAGACACTTGCAGCCGAGACAGAAGACGGCCACCGAAAAGGGGGGGGGAAAGAGAAAGAAAAAGCCTTTCCCAGAAGGCGGCGGGACTTCTCCGAAGCCCTCGCACCTTCCCGAGAAGTTGTTTCTGTCTTCGGGGAGGGCTTAAACTTCTCAGAAGGCCGGGGGGCTTCCGAACCTTTTGAGATGTCCTTATCCTTCTCACTTCCCCCCCCTGCTGTCTGGTAGGGTATGCAAATACTGTCGACCTGTATCATACGGATGCGCGGGAAGGAGGCAAGGGCCTCGGAGGCCCACGCGAACGTTTCTCGAGCGAGGTTGGCCAGCGAGAGTGGCCAAGGAGGGGCCGAAGGGGCAAGGATGCAAGGGCACCCCTGGGAAGGTTGCCCATCCTTGTTATGCGGGTTGACGGGCCCTTGGGAAGGTTGCCCACCCCTCCTCGTAGTCCCCCTCCTTCTCGCTCCTCCTCCTCCTCCTCCTCCTCCTCCTCCTCCTCTTCCTCCCGTGGAGCCTCCCCCCTCCCCTCCCCTCCCCCCCACCCCAACTTTCCTCACGCAACCGCGTGAACACCCCCCCCCCCTCCCAAAGCTGCCCGGGCGCCCCGGAGCCTCCCTACAGCGCCCTCAAGGCTTGCAAGGCAGCCACGGGAGGCAACCAAGGCCGCCAAGAAGGCCCGACGCTGCCGCAAGAGGCGCCCAACAGCGTCCCAAAAGATACAGCGAGGCGCTGATGCAGCTCTAACCAACTTCCAATACAGCAAAGATAATATAAGCGAGCCCACGAATACAACAACACACATAGCACCAACATAGCAACGCGAAAAATACAACACCTGTCAGGCCAAGCGAACCCACAGGAGGGCCAAGATCATTCAAATCCCCCCAAGGATGTCTTAGGTCTTTGCACATGCTGATTTTAACTTGTTTCGCTGTCTTAGTGGCCCAGATGGTTCCAAGAGGGCCTTGGAGGATAGTAACGAAAACCTGGAGAGCCCACTTAGGGGCCCCAAGAGCCCAGTAACAAAAACAGCAAGACAACCCCGTACAGCCCCAATTGAGCCCAAGAGGGCCCCAAGACAGACGGCCCGATCTGACCCCAGAGGGGGCCCCAATGCAGCTTGCAACGACTCCCCGAACATCCACGTGGGGCCAGAGATGGCCCCCAGGACGGCCCGACAGGGCCCAGGAGGCCTTCAAGGAGGCCCCATCGGGGCCCAAGAAAGCTCCAAGGCGGCCCAAGCAGACCTATGAGAACCCCTTCAAGGAATGGAAACGAGAAGTGTCACACTACACGGCTTTCTGGGCGGTGCTCGTGGCGTCGCCACACAGTGCCGCGATGGCACGGCGGCGGAACGTGCCGCAGGCAGCTGTAAACAACTCGGGACAAGCCCGACCCTGCCTGTGCTTAGCATTAGCACTAATAGCAAATGCGCACAGACCACGTACACCAAATACATCTGCGTACGTATACACATGTGTATATAAATATGTACATCTACAGCGCTGGGCGCACAATCCACCAGCGGCGTGGCCACTGGGCCCAGCAGCGACTGGCCTCCGCCCCCCCTTATGGGCCCCAAATCTGCGACGTACACGTGCGCAGAGTTGTACGACGAGCGGAGGCCTGTCGCGGGCGCTACTAGGGAAACGAAGAATGACATAAACATGAAAACTCGGAGGTCCGCGCGGATTTCTCGGATCGGCGCTGGACCCCCCCCCCCCTCCCTGGCGCGCTCCGCGCGCCAGGGGCGGCGCCGGAGGCGCCTCCAGAGGGGTCCAGCACGGACCTGAGAAATCCGCGCGGACCTCCGAGTTGTTATGTTTATATCATTCTTCGTTCCCTAGCCATGTGCTCCCCACCCTCCTGTGCAAACCGGGCCCTCGCTCTGCATCGGCAGCGCCTCGCGCCTCCTCCTCCACCGTCCTCCCCTGTCCTCCTTCCCCGCCCAACCTGTGTTAAAGGAGCCCAGGGACACACCGATAAATAGATAAAAATCCCAGGATTCCCACTATTTTCTGATATTTTGTGGGTTTTCGTCTCCCCCCCACACTTCCCATATTTTCCCATCTTTTCCTTCCTTGGGATCGACGATTCATTGCTTCTGTGTGCTTTTTCCCTCCCTGGCAATTTCGGCACACCCCCCATACTGACTACCTACCAGACCACCCCAACCCAACCCGAAGACCCGAATTTCGGGTTGGGGGGGGTAAGGGTTCCACATGTGTTTTTTCGATGTTTCCCGAGCCCCCCCCCCCACTGGAAATCGAGGGTAAATCTGAGCCTTCGGGTTGGGTTGGGGTGGTTTGGTGGGTGGTGACATACGGTTCGTGGCCCCATGTGCTCACACGCTGCGTGACCCACAGGCCCATAGAGAGAGCTACGCCGAGGGCCGCGTTGGCACGGCTCGCATGGCGATCCCTCCCCGAAGTCGGGGCACCCTTCACGCGCTCCGTGGCCCCATGGGGAGCTCCACCGACGCCTTCAGTTAGGAAGGCACCAACTATACACCAACACCGATCCCGGCCAGGATCACCCTGGGCCCAGGATCGGTGTATACGCCCTCCTGCCTTGCGCAAGAAGGCATATACACCGATCCTGGGCCCAGGGTGATGCTGGGCCAGGATCGGTGTTGGTGTATAGTTGGTGCCCTCCGATCAGTGGACCAGCTCGTATGGTGCACCCGCCCACAGTGCTGCGCGGCTCTCGCACGTCTCGTGGCACTGCCAGAGTTCGCGTGGCGAGCCTGCCTCCAGTGCGTCACGCCCCCCGCAAGTTCCCGCGGCCACACGAGAACAGTGGAACGATTCGCATGGCCCACCCGCTTTTTCAGATGCGCACGCCCTCGCGCGTTTCGCGACCATCTGGCCATCGCTCGGACGTCCATCTCCTGTGTTTGTTTGTCGGTTTCGTGCGTGGCTTGTTCGCCAAATGATCAAGGATGCTCCTCGACGGTCCTCGCCGAAGGGAAAATGCACGCGTCCGAGCGATGCGGGGCGCCATCCCCACCGCGGCGCGCTGCTTTGAAGGAGAGTGCCACTGCCTGCAAGGCGCTGGATCCTTCGCCGGGATCTTTGAGGAGGGAGAGCGGTAAGCTCCTGCGCAGCCCCAGCCGGCGCCGCAGGTGGGCCCCTCGGCGACGTGTCCGCGCCGCCCACACTGAGGGCACCGCCGCTGCAGAGCGGTGCCCCCTCGCGGGGGGGGTGCAGCCTCGCGTGCGGCGACTCTCTCCAGGGCCCGTGCGGCCAGGAAAGGCATGCCGCCTGGCGTCAGGGCCGCGGACTCTGGAGACGCGAGGGCTCTCGCTGAGCCCCTGTTATCCGAGTGGATGTGAGGTGAGTGTTTTCATATTCGGCGGCTTCGGCACCGCCTGTATCCGAGGCTATGTCTCCTCTCGGCCTCGCTCTGAGGCTCCGCCGCTTCCTCCCTCCTCTTCTTTGCCTAATTCAAGCTTCGCGCGGCCCGCTTAGCTTCGACCGGAAGAGGTGCGCTCTCGACCCGCGGATCAAAGAGTGTTTTCATATTCGGCGTTTCGACATTGGGCGGAAGGGGGAAGGGGGGGGGTCTGGCTCGGGCCCTCTGCTGAACGCGACTGCTTGCAGCAGTGCGTCCTGTGGGGGAGACCCCAGCTGCTAGAGGCAGGCGCCGAACACAGCCAAGCTCTACTCCGTGGGGGGGAAAACAGCCAAGCTCTACTCCATGGGGGGGGGGCCACGCCCATCGGCAAAACAATGAACAAAACACGATCCCGAGTGTCCTGTATTCCGAATGTAAGTGAGTGTCCTATATTCCGAGCGAGAAAAACGACTCGGGTGAGCTGGCGCGAAAGGCGCTTCACGGTGCACCCACCGCTGACGCCGAAGCCAAAGCTGAAGTGCACAGAAAAATGGAAAGGGCCCACCCCGTAGGCTTGGCTGGCAGCACGTCGTTGAGCGGTGCTGCAGCCTCCCCTACGTAAGCCTATGTTATAGGAACACGAACAGAGGGCAGAAAATCCAGCCCCATTATAATCACCCTGACAAGCGAAGCCGTTTAGTAAACGCGCCCAGGGAACGAACCGAACCGGGCGGGGCTATTTCTGTGCACGCCCGGGGCCGTCTAGTAAACGCCAGCTGTCGGGTTAGGGGTGGTTTTGCCTCCCCCGAACGAGAACCCACAGCCTTCGGCTACACGCAAGAGTGACCCTGGGTACGAGTGGCCTTTGGTGCGCGGCTTTGTGGGGGCCGCGGGGAGACCAACCCTGGGCGCGCCAGCCGCTGCTACCGCTTCGTCTTCAGCCACCTGGGGGCCCATCCTAGGGAGCCCACAAAGGACGTACGCGCCCAGCTATGTACATGAACACGGCCCCTCGATTCGCGAGACCGGCTGCGTGATACGAACATTTGTGCAATGCGTGCTCTCGAAACCAGCGTGGATTCATGTACATGTACGTCCTTCTTTCACTCCTGACATCCGTCCCCGCACCAGAGGTTACTCCGGCGAAAGGTCGCTCTGACGTCGAGCCCAAGCCCGACGACTGCCTGCCACCTCCCCTCCAGGACCCGGCTCGCCAACTGCCGCCTCCCCCCTTCGCTGGGGGGCCAAGGTGGAGTTCGACGGGGCGCTCGCCACCTTCCCCAAAAGGCGCATCGCGCCTCCTCCTCCTCCTCCGCCTCCTCCTCCTCCTCGTCCTCCTCCTCGTCCTCGTCCCCCCCCTCCTCCTCCTCCTCCCCCAGGGGCCCGCCCCCTGCAAGGACCCCCCCCCCCGAAGACCAGGAGAGGCACGAGAGGCTGGGCGAGAGGGCACTCCTATCGCGCAAAAAAAAACAGCCAAGACGCGTGCGAAGCTTCCTCTTCTAACGACGGACGCTGGTGCTCGCTTAGCCACGACTTTCTACAACACCACTACTACCCCGCAATATAAGTTCTCTCCTCCACAACCAAGACGCGTGCGACTGGACACGGGTTCGCGTGAACGGGAACCCCTTGCTCGCGGATCTCGCCTGGCCTTGCCCCGGCCAGAAAAGATGCTGTACGTCACTCCTACCGCACCGCCCCTCCTATGTCCCAAAGTCTTCCCTGTCTCCCTCTTCAAGCTCCATTACCTTCACGTAGTCCTCCCACTCATATTCATCGCGCCTCCTCCCTCTTCTATTTCCCATGCTCGCCCACCTCATCCTTGTTCGCCTTTATCTCATCAGCCCACGGACCCTGCGCCTGCTGCCGCTCCTAGCATTTCTCCTCTTAGCGCTTATGCTCCTCCTCTCCCCCTCCCCGCCCTTCTCACAATCATCATGGTGCTCATTTGCATGTGTCTTATTCTAGAATCCTCCGCCTCATCCTCTTCGCCCGCTACTCCTCATGTTTCCATTCGTGCCCCTCATCATTCGCTTACTACTGCCCGTCCTCGGTTGTCTGCTCCTCCTTTGCATCAAGACTATGTTCTTCGCCCTACCCCGCCTCCCCCTCCTCATCCACCCAACCACATTGCTCCTCGTCGTCATCCTTGTCTTCCTCCTCCCCCGCTCCGTCCACTCCTCCCTCAACCTCATCCTCCTCTTCCTCCGTATCATGGTGCCTGTTCGTCTGCTTTACCCTCCTCCTCCTTCTTCTCCGTCTCCTCGGCTTGCTGTCTTACATGACGAGCTTGCCCGTTGCCAATGGCTCGGCAATCGCGCGGCGGACGAGTTCGCCCGCCAGGGGGCTGAACTGGACATGTGTGCTTCTGCCGATCGTTCTGTAATTCTCGGCCGTCACGGGATTGCCAGGCAGGCTGATCGATTCGGAGCCCGGCAGGAGGCCTGGATAGCTGATAGCCAAACTTTGACCATGTTCCTCTCGACTTTCTCACAAACATGTTGAGCTCGGGCCCTTCCTCCCCGTTCGGGCCCTGGACGAGCTTGCCGAGCTCCGTACTAAAGATGAGGGTGGTGGATCGTCTCGGTCGTCCTTCGTCGCGAATGGGGCGGGGGAGGATGACGATCGCGAAGGGGCGCCCGCAGGCGCGGTGTTGGGACCTGCCTTGCAAGGCGCCACCCCCGTCGCCTGGCGAAGAGGCGTGGGGCCTACTCAGGCCCGGGCGTGCCCGCGGCCACATCTGCCTGGAGGCTCCGGTGACCGGACCGGATGGGTCCCCTCAGGGATCCATAGTTTTCTGCACGAGTTGCGGCTCGGTCGGCCGCCCAGGGCCTTCCTGGGGCCGAAGTGCTCTGGTGTCGAACTGCCTCGACGTCCGCACGAAGGGTCGCGAGAGGCAACTGGCTTGGATTTTGCGCGGCAAACGCCCGCCCCATAAGAACGAGCGTGTGGGGGCGGCCGCTGCCCTCTCTGATGCCTCTCGGGAGGTCTTGGCCGCGAAGCTCGGTCTTGATGGTGCACCTGCCCTTGGACCCCCTCCCAGCACTCTTCACGGGTGCGGGGTCAACCTCGTCAGGGGGCTCGCCCTTTTTGGATTCCCCTCCCGCGCCGAGGCAGAGAGCCTCGGGCAGCGGGTCCTTGATAGGAGGAACAGCGAGGCGAGTGCCCCCGATCTTGGAGAGTTCGGCGAGGATAAACTAGTTTGTCTGCTTTTGCATGCCGAATTGGATGGCCTCCTCGGCTGGCTGTGGTCTATCTTGCGATCGTCAGTCTCACGCTCCACTGCTTTCTCCTCCTGCTCCCCCAGCTCCTCCTCATCCTCCTCCTCCTCTTCCTCCTCCTCCTCCAGCTGGGACCTGGCCACTGCCACCACGTAAGGGTCTTGCCACATTTTGACCCTTTCATCCTCCTCCCGCCCCTCTTGCTGCTGCCAGCGCTTCAGTTCCTCCCCATCATCATCAGCACCATCATCCCACTCCTGCTTCCCCTCCTGCTTCTGCTCCTGGTCATGGTCATGGTCTTGGACCTGGTCCTGGTCCTGCTCCTCCTCCTCCTCCTCTTCTTCCTCCTTCTCCTGCCTCCATTATCATCTTCCTTGCCTTGTCATCATTGCACTCTTTTACCCCCGAACTCCCCAACGCAATCCTTGCCCGCCTCCTCTGCCTCCTCCACCTCCCTCCTTTTCCACCTCCGTCTCCGCACCCTCCTCCTCGTCCTCCTCCTCCTCCTCCTCCTTCTCCTTCTCCTTCTCCTCACCATCACCATCACCATCACCATCACCATCACCATCACCATCACCATCATCATCATCATCATCATCATCATCATCATCATCATCATCATCATCAGCAGCAGCAGCGGTACCATCATCATCATCATCATCATCATCATCATCATCATCATCATCGTCAACAACATCAACATCAACATCAACATCAACATCAACATCAACATCAACATCAACGACAACAGCACCAACATCATCAGCATCATCAACATAATCAGCAGCATCAGCATTATCATCACCACCACCACCATCACCATCGTCAGCTTCATCAGCATCATCATCAGCATCAGCATCGCAATCATCATCATCATCATCATCAGCATCATCATCATCATCATCATCATAACTATCATCATCATCATCCTCATCATTATCATCATCACTACCACCATCACCATCACCACCACCACCACCACCAGTCATATCACCATCACCATCACCATCACCATCATCATCACCACCAGCATCAGCATCAGCATCAGCATCAGCCTCAGCATCATCAGCATCATCAGCATCATCATCATCATCATCACCATCATCATTATCACCATCATCATCATCATCATCATCGTCATCGTCGTCGTCATCATCATCATCATCTCATCCTCATCCTCATCATCATCATCATCATCATCATCACCATCACCATCACCATCATCATCATCACCATCATCATCACCATCATCACCATCATCATCACCATCACCATCACCATCACCATCACCATCACCATCACCATCATCACATCATCATCATCCTCATCATCATCATCATCATCATCATCATCATCATCATCATCATCATCATCATCATCATCATCATCATCATCATCATCATCATCATCATCATCATCATCATCCATCATCATCGCCTCCGACGTCCCTGCTGCTCCTGCACTCCTCGGAATGATGCATCTCTCGGATCGCCCCTGTAACTCCCTCCCCCCAATCTTCTGCGTCCGCTCTGCCCCTCTGCTCAGCCAGCCGAGCAGAAGGATCGTCAACCAGCGCTGCGAGCCGCGGGCTCCTTGACTATGGCGTCGGCTCCTTCTTTCATCAGGGTCTCCCGGAGGAAATCCTCGCTTGCTGGATTCTTAGCTCTGTTGCTCTCGTCGGATGGCGCTCGCACGCGCGAGAACAACAGGGGCGAGCGCATCACTCGAGAACTCTTCTCAGGAGGAGTAGACCGAGACGAAGACACCCCGAGTAACCCGTACCACCGCGGGGGGGAGAGGAGAAAGGACAGGAGAAGGTGGGGACTATTCTCGCGAGCAATGGTGGTCGTGGACTTAGTGGGTCCCGGAAACGGCAAGGCCGTTTTTCACCGTTTCCGAAAAAGCGTCCCTTGACAATGGAAACGGCAAAAAAACGGCGACAGGAAACGCTAACAAAAGCGGCTCCAGGATTGGAACTGGAGCAGGAACCCGTAAAAGAACGGCGACGGAACCGGTAAAAAAACGGCGTCGGAACCGGGCAAACAAAAAGCAAAACGGAACCGGTAACAAAACGGCCCTGTCGTTTCCAGGGCCCACTAAGGTCGTCGAGCCATGAGCATTGGGATGAGCATTGGGCGCTGGATCCACGGCGACAGCGGGCGGGCTCACCGTGCTGCCCTGCATCGGGGGGGGCCTCGGCGAGCGCTCGCAGAGGATCGGGACGCTCGCTCGGCATGCTCTCCAGCTGCGGGCATGCTGGACTCTGCCGCGCACCAGGCCAACGTCGGGAGCTTAGTG